ATATATAATTATATAAATATAAAGTAGAAAATATCAACCAAATAATAAGAAAAAAAAAAGCAGAATACACATAATATAATTATAGTATTTAATAAATTAAGATTAATATATTAAATAAAATAAATATAATTATGACAATAAAAACATGCAAAGTATAATAAACATAATGATAGCAATATAAACTAGCAAATAACATAATAATTGAAATAATGAATAAAGAATAAAATTCCTAAATAAATATAAAACATTTGAAAAAAAAAAAAAGGACTTCGTATTCAGACCATTGACAGTTTGAATAGGTTATCTGGACCGTCAGTGGTCCGAATATAGTGGCCCAGAATTTAAATGGAAAAATCTTGCTTTTAAATATCATTTTAGTTAAAAAAAATTACCTTGTAATTTTTAGATTGGTTTCGATATGAAAATATCGAACAAAAAACATCCTTTTAATTGTCTGGTAAATTATTTTTTAATGATACTATTCAAACCACTATTGGTCCAAAAATTTTTGGGTGCATTTTTACTATTTTGGTGTCAACAATTTTTAGATCATTGTTGGTCCGAATAAAAGGTTCCTAATAAATTGATTGCTCATTCTTGATCAATAAATATTTAGACTAATAACGATCCAAATTAATATATTTTTAAACCAAAATTAATCGGTTTGAATTATGTTGGTTTGAATATAAGCAATGTCTAGTAGTGTTTTTTTATCTTGTTTACCTTGTTTTGTGCTTTTCCCCATATCAAAACCTTAAAAATCAAAAGGCTCATAATCCAAAAAATTGGAACTCAAAATTCAAGACTCTTTTGTTAATTACTTCATTCTCTTCTGCCTAAACCTATTATGGCTTCCATAAGTTTTAGGGGTTAGATCAAATAGTTGGACAGAGGAACAGAGCTCATTCATGGTAGTAGATGGGTCATTACGGTCAATCCAATCAATCTAGTTCATCATAAGAAGATCTATGTGGTCTTAGCCAAAGCATGGGTTAATAGGCGAGACTTTTAGGTAAATGAAGGATAACCTTTATACTACTTTCTTAATTGTGAATGATCTTAGTTATGTGTTGGGTAATGCACCTTGGGAGGTGGAGAGTTTTTTGTTTAACCTTAAAAAAATGAGAGGTAGGTACCTTCCTATCCAAGATTGAATTTTCTCTTGTGCCATACTGGGTTCAAGTTCATAATCTAAACATTGATTAGCTAGGATATAGTAATGCCCAATTAGTTGGAAGCAATATTGACATTTTGCTTAAGGTTGAAAATCATAAGCTCAATAATGTTTTATGTAGAGGTTTCTTAAAGTGTGTGATTCTAATTGATCTTATTAAGCCATTGATCATTGGTTTTTGGTCTCAATCAAAGACAAGGGGGCCTAGCTAGATGGATTTCTCTTAAGTAGGAAAGGCTTTCTGAGTTCTATTATAACTATGGGAGGTTAGGCCATTGTACATTTGTTAGTGATGAAGAAAAGGTGAGGTTGACTCTAGATCCTAGAAAAAGAATGTATAGTGAGTGGCTAAGAGCAAAATGGGAAAAGGATGAAGTGAGAAGTGGTAGGAATTTTAACAACACTTATCAGAGGATAGATAATATGCTCTGTCCAATGTACTCCCTTAGTAAGATTATGCAAAATGTGGAGGGATGTTTTTTGAAGAGCAATGCTAGGTTATCTCTAATTATGAGGTGCTAGATTCCATGGTTAATGAAACCCCAATAGCCTTAATTGTACTTAGAAGGACTCAAAACAAAAGCTAATTTGCAAAATCCCATCTCTTTTAACAGAGGGTAATATTGTTTTGAGTGGTTTAGCTCCTTCTAGTGAAACTCGTAAAACACTAGAAGTTAAAGAATGCTCTAGCATGGAAAACCTAGAGATCGTTCATGTCAATGTTTATAATGTGGGAAATTTGGTGCATGAGTTTGATATTGAGTTAGGAGTAACAAGTAATGATAATTGAAATAATTCGGGCTGAAACCTGTTGACAACCACACAACTTAAAAAGCTATTAAGTTAAATGTGAAAAATATAAGAAAAGGAGTCACCACTCATCCAAATTATAAGATGGGACAAGTCACTTAAAACGGGTATGTGCAGAGATCGAAGTTCGAGGGTTTGGTTAGGAGTGAAGAAGGACATACGCGCACCTCACAATCCTCTGTTTAAACACCGTTGCATACTTTAACATTGAGGTTTTGATTCAACTTATTCATTATCTGTTTACTTAAGTCTTAACACTACTAGAATGCATGAAATTACTGACAAAAATCTTCATCGGAAATTAAGGGAATTATGTGGGCAAATACCCCTTCCAACTTGAAACACGTCGGTAAAATGTTTGTTAGTGTAAGTCCCCTCGGTAATTCATTCACCGATGTGATTTAAATTCACATCAGTAAAATGCTAAAAATTATCGACAAAGAGTACATCTCAAGCCATTAGATCGGAAAAGTACAATCAGAGGATTGCTCACATCGGTAAATTTACTGACAAGACAAATGTTTGTAACATATATATTTAATATTATTTCAAGTTAATTTATCAACAAAACTATTATCGGCATTGTTTACCCACTACCAAAAACAAAAAAATAGTGCAGCACCACTACTACTTTACCAATGTACATAAAGTTGGTAAAGGTATAATAAAAAAATTATTGTTATTTACTGACAAAGACAATGTCGGTACAAGAATTTTTTAAAAAATAATACTATTTCTTGAATAATACTAAAATTAATGTATTTTTTATTTAATTTAATCTATTTATTGTGAAATATTAATTTATAATTCTTAATATTAAAAAAGGTAAATATAATATCAAAATTTTACAATAAAAATGAGAAATTATTGAATCTATTTA